CAAGTGACTTCTCCAAGGTCACTATAAGTAGCAGATCCACTAATAGCAAAGAGCCAGTACTGTAACTTTTTGGGCTATTAATCAAGTTTTCTTCTTTTTACTAAAATTCATTTCCTTATTATACTTATAAATATCAAATTATAAAATAACTACTGTTCAAAGTGTTTTAAAAAAATGAAATTACCTTGGTTAGTGTACCAATATCCCTTCTACAAATGTGAACATTAAAAGTTTAATATTAGCTCTAGCCAGTTTGGCTCAGTGGAAAGAGCGTCGGCCTGTGTACTGAATGGTCCCAGGTTTGATTTGGTCAAGGGCACATGCCCAGGTTGTGAGCTCGATCCCCAGTAGGGGATGTGCAGGAGGCCACTGGTCAATGATTCTCTCTCACCGTTGATGTGTTTCTATCTCTCCTTCCCTCTCTCTTCCTCTCTGAAGTCAATAAAAAATATTTTTTTAAAAAATGTTTAAGTTTCATATTAAACTAATTGGATTGTTTATTAATTTCAATTTTTAAGAGTATGTGCCTATATATTTTATAATATTTATGTACTAATTAGGTGATAATTTTCTTCACAGGATATGGGTTTAAAGGTGTTCACCAACTCAAAGATTCATAAACCCAGAGTGTGTTCATACTATCATCCCCAACCCTTTGCAAGCGCAGGTGTTGCAAGACTATACGATTATTCAGGTAAAATAATAATAATAATAATAATAATAATAAATTGCCTAATATATTGAACCAAATAAAAGGAATTATTAAAATTAACCAAAAAAACACTTGTGATTCAGATATATCAAGGTTACATAGCAATACGACCCTCAAAATTCTGATTGCATCAAGCCCCCACATATGCAAAGCTGAAGAGATCACATGGCAGATTGTGAAAAGTGTTGAAAGACAGGGGAATATGTGCAGAATAAAAGAAGGGATGGATTCTGATTGAGGAATCAGAAAAGCCAGTCATAAAGAATTTGTATCTAGTACATAAAAATATGTGGCGTTCAAAAAGAAAGAGAGAGTTTTCAGGCATAGGATCAGTGTAAACAGAAACAGAAATGTTCATAAGTCGGGCTACATTCTCGCCAATCAAGTGAACAAATTCCTTAATGTCCCAATAACATCAGGCAATATTCTTGTTGAAATCACCCATTTGTCAATGATATGGGCTATTTCTTTGATGAGTCAGATAGTAATGAAGCATTTGCTTCTAGTCTGATTGTCAAATCATGGTTGAATACAGGTTGAGTACAAACCAAAGAGTTCGTCAAATATCAAGAAAAAAATTCGGCCTAGTTGGTTTGGCTCAGTGGATAGAGTATCGGCCTGCAGACTGAAGGGTGTCAGGTTTGATTCCAGTCAAGGGCACATGCCCAGGTTGGGGGCTCGATCCCCAGTAGGAGGCATGTAGGAGGCAGCCAATCAATGATTCTCTCTCATCACTGATCTTTCTCTTTC